AAGGCAGCTGTGGCTACAATGTAGCTGCCATCACCAGTGTGTGAATGGGTGGATGACTGAATGTAGTGTAAAGCACTTTGGGGTCCATAGGGACTAAGTAAAGTGCTATACTAATACAGGCCATTTACAATTTAATTGACCTTGGTTATGGCAGGTTAAGACTCTACAGAACGTTGTAGAACCACATATCAAAGGATTTAAGTGAATCTTTGTATATATTTGAATATGTGTGAATAATTCTGACCATCTGTCAATTCGAGAAAAAATAATTAAAGTCAAATCAATTCTTTTGTTAAGTAATTATAGTTTTAAGCAGTACAGTCATTCCACCCAGTTAAAACATCAGTCTACATAAATAATTAAAGGCTCAAAATTATTTTGGCATTTATGCCCAGGGTGGGCATTAATATCTACAAAAACGTGTGCGGTGAAGTTCCTCCTCTGCTAATACTTCTGTTATTGCTGTTATTGTTAATAATCTAGTTCCTTTATACTGCTGTCTTCTGTCAGGGCTGGCTCATTATATCTGTACCGTTCACTATTATTTCTATTGTGCTGTAAGCCTTTGGATCTCCGCCTTCCTTCTCTTCTACTTCTTAAGTAGCTTCCTTCTAATGATATCTATAGCACTAAAAGTACTTTCCGACCAGTGTGGATGTTGGTCTGCTTATCTATAGTTCCCACATGTGTTGCACGTTTGGTCTATTTTTAACAGACAAGGATGGATTACTGCTGTTCAAGCTGAAGGAAGTCTCATCACTAAGCACGCCAGAAGCAAAACCTCAATTTATATTTATATTTTTAACATGTACCATGATCTTATTCGAAGACACCGTCATGCACAAAGACATAATGTCATTTAATTTTACACATTCAGTCAAAGTTTCACATGTAAATTTGTTCATTAAGAAAGCTGGTGTACTGCACTGATGTTGTGAATAATCTTAAAAGGAATTAGTTAAAAATTTACACCAGAAGGAGACATTAGCTTTGCAGCAAGATGCCTTTGTGAGGCGCCAAGCTGTTTTCAGTATTTTATTTGTTTCATCATTCTTTATAATATGGTGAATTAAAGGCATCTATCAAGACCCATTGAGACTTAAATCTGAGCCAAACATTAAGGCTGTTGTTACGTTGTTAAACACACAAACACAAACACACACACAGACACACACACACAACCATTAGGTTTTTATTCTTGGTTAAAATTTGTCATTAACTTGACTTAGCTGAGGTTTGTTTTTGCTCCCCAGATGTCTTGACTGACCCTTACTTCCTTGTGTGTATTTAAAGTCTCTCTTCAGTCTTTATCATTCCACTTATGGGCTCTATATTTCTTGGTCTGTTTATTAACCCCTTTTAATGGTGCATTTTGAGTTGCTTTGCCTGCTTTTGAGCCTTTGCATTTAGGTCCTTTTGTCCAGCACACCATGGTAGTTATGATAGCATAACGTATCATATAACTCATAGCTCTTGCCAAACAATGTCAAACAGGTTAGATTTGGTTTGGCTTAAAATTCCTAGAGAACCACAGGATTTTGCATATATTTATTGAGATAATATATATCTAATAATAATTATTATATTTTCAGTCACTTGCTGGTAACTGAAAACATGAAAAACTATATTTATTAATGGTCTGAGAAAGAGAACAGGCTGTGTATTATGAAAATACCATGTTCTTTTTTCAAGATTGTATTAAACTTGGGAATAATTACTTTTTCAGGGTTAAAATATGAATATAATATATAATACATGTAAATAACAGTTGCATTTAGATTTTTTTCATTGTGTCTGAAACGTTTACAATTCAAACACCTTTGTGACTACTGCATAAAGTGTCTTGTTCTGTTTTGTCACTTAAACATGTCCGATGTGTAGATAGTGCTTGATGTTCCTAAGCCACTGCATATAACTACGACTCATAATAATAACATATAAAAGCAAATTACAAATATCAAATGTGATTTTCATTCATATATTCAGATTTTCATTTAATACATAAACGTTTTAGATAATAATTAATGATGACAGCAACCTAGTGGTTGTCATGAACAATAATATCTACATCAGAGTATTTATTAGTAAAGATTTGATTTGTAATGTTCTCTGTTCTTGTTAGGTTGGTGGGTCGGTGAAAGGGAATCAGTTTTACTTTGCTCTCATCTATGAGGAAGGAGATGAAATTGAAGGTGGCTGCCTTTACAGGAAATCTGGAGGGAAATTTCAAACACTTCCTGGTTACCCACAATGTTCTATGACCAATGGAGTTGTCAACTTCTTCCTGGCACGCACAGATGCCGTGCAGAGGGTGGGCTTTGATCCTAAGCTCCAGCGGACAGCACATTCAGGTAAGTCCAGACCTCATCAAAGTTTGAGTTCTAAGTGGCAATTAAAGTTTTTTACCTTATGGGGAAAATGTCTCTTTCTTTCTCCAGAGTTCTTTATGGATGGTCTGGGCACTTTGCTAGTTGCCACATGTGGTGATGTGTCCATTGACCATCAACTCACAACATCAGAAAACAAGAGTCCTTTGTACAACAAATTTAGATACCCTGGACAAGGTGATGTTGAGTTCAAACTGAAGCTTCACTTTTACAAAAATCATCTAAAATGCATTAAATATGGATAGAGTACCAAAAAAATGAGAGTCACTGGTTTTAGAACATTTTATGTTTCTTTTGTTTTGGATGTTATTGCCACAGTGAAAGAAAATAAAAACAATGATACTCTGGTCTTCCTTTCACCATGTATGACAATTTGTTATTTCTATCATTTCGTTCAAGTGTTTAATTTGGATAACTACTGTATGTGAAAATTTAAATGTCACTGCCACTAACAATTGTTTCTAAATTTTTAACACTGGTATTTTATTTATTGCTTCTATTTAAAATTTTGTTTTATTGTCTGTGAAATGTTGTTTCTTTAATCCAACTATGTAAGGAACTGAAATCAGGGAGTACTGTATCGCTGAAAGGATGTCCATCGGGACTGAAACTCGTGGCAGCAAGTGGCCTGGGCCTATGTATATTTATATATAAAACGTAGGTGTACACCTTGTGTCATCAATTTGATTGATGTCCCCAGCCTTGACCTTTTGACCTTACCGGAAGTACTCCGGAAGTGTCTAATCGAATCCAGATGTGTGTAATATGATCCATAAGCGCGACGAATTGCATCCGGTGAGGGGAGGGGGGTACTCCAGCAGTGTCTAATCGATTCCATATGTGTGACTAATCGCATCCGGTGGGAAAAAAGGAGGGGGAAGAGATCTGCTCTCCCGACGCCGTAAGCATGGAAGGCAGCAGCAGCGACTGGTCCTCATTAGTGATCAGCAACACCCCCGTCACTGTCTACAGTAACAGATGCGATGCGGCTGATTTCATACAGGTCTCAACTCCTTGTATGTGTAAAGTAACCCTTAGTGGAAAAAAAGCACATATTCAGAACTCTATCCTAAATAATTTTATTAAATCACCCCGATGAGGTATTTTGGTTTTGTGCAGCCACTCCTTTTCAGACCAAAAGTAAAGAATTTTTCTTCATTTTTTGAGCTTCTTTTACAACAGGTTTTCTCATTAACAGAAAATAGACAGAATCCCTAAAAGAAAACGGCCTTGTTTTAAGTACATCAAGAAGGAATCAGACGACCGTCGGTTCATCCCTGTCAATTACCTCAGAGAGATCGGGATGCTTCCCCCGTCGGGTACCATAAGCGTATAAGAAAAAAACCCCAGAGAATGTATTATTTGTGTAAGACTGAGCGAGAGAGAGAGCGAGAGAGCGAATCGATCAAACTTTTCTACAACACGTTATACCACTCCGGCTCAGGAGAGGCGATTTAGCATGGACTGGCTGGATGACTACGCCGGATGGAAGCATAACCGGAAGCATGGCATGGACTTTCCCTTTGACCTTCATTCAGCTCTATGATCAGCCGTTAAATCTTTCCTCAATATTGCTGTAATGTAACACCAAAGTTAGTATTTTAAGATCAGACAGGTCCCAAAACATTCCTTAGACATTCCCACAGTCATTGAATAAGCATCTGTGGCACAAATAAGCTTCAGGGACTGACTTGTTTTTTAGAACCGACATTTGACACTTGGATGTTGGCTTAATTTTTTATCCAAAGAGAAATTTGACCCTAATAAAAAAAAACCCACAATACTGTGGTGAATACTTACCTCAACTTTGATGGGTTTTTTCACAGCTACTGTATTTATCTTGAAAAAAAGTAAACATGTTACAAGGACACATTGGACATTGCAGAGTACATGAATGGGAAGTAGGAATTCCCCCCCCCCCGACCTTACACACACACAGCACAGACATCACATGGGGTCACACGGTAGCGTTACAGAAAATAAAACACTGAAATATACACTACAATGGGAAAGTACAAGAGGAAAAAAAAGAGACCTCTACTCATGCTGGGCTCCTGGGAGGACAGCATGAGAACAGGAAACAAAAAAAAACTCCTCTGCACAAAAAAGCACATAAATGTCCACAGCACAACATTATGGAACACGTGACAAGCCACAGGGTCGGGTGGGGGGTGAGGAGTAATCCGAAGCAAACACAGCAGCCATCCTGCACTGTGCTACCATTCCAGCGCGGGCTCAGACCCGCCATGTTCCCAGGAGGGAACAAGCATCGAAGGCGTTAGGAAAGGGAGGGGGGATGAGTGTGTGCATATCAGTGTATATGTATGTGTGTGCGTGTCCAGAGTTCAGCTGAGACAGTGTCCTTCGCCCTGCTAGGCTAAGTAAACAGTCTTCCACCCAACCCAGGTGGCCTTGCATGGAATGGGAAGGAACATACTAAACACAGTCGTTATCAGGGAGATTTTGTTCAGCTCCAGCCTTGCGACCGCAGCTGGCTCCGAAAGGGTATCCGCATGAAGTGATGGTGTTTTTTACTTTAGTGCAAACATCTCATATAAATTTCAAAGCAGTTCTACAGTCCAACACTGGTCTCTCAATCTCCCGTTGGAGAGCCGCAAGGTTCACCATACTTGCGTTCAGTGATGTTGTCATTTCTTGTGCTCAAGGAACCGATTCTGAGAACTCACGGCAGTGAGCCTCCCCGAGAAAAGTGCGTCCGCCTTCGTCAAGAGCAAGACCAGAGAACATTAGAATTCATTTTTTGTTGGACGCAAGAACAACCAGTGGCGTGTCTAGAAAATTTTTGTTGGGGGGGCCAGGTAGGGGCACAGATTTGGAGAAGCTTTGTTGTAAAGTGTAAAGCATAAAACCATTTATTAATGAATAATAAATATTTATAAATGCCATATGGGAGACTTATTGTAAAGTGTAAAGCATAAAACCATTTATTAATGAATAATAAATATTTATAAATGCCAAATGGGAGCCTTATTGTAAAGTGTAAAGCATAACACCATTTATTAATGACAAATACACATTTATAAATGCCAAAAGAGAGTTTTGTTGTAAAGTTTAAAACATGTCAACATTTATTCATGATCAACAAACATTTCTAAGTATTACTGGGCATTACTATAAAAAGTATAAAGCACCAACAGTTATTTAGCATTGCTAAACTTATATACAAGCC